TTTATTTTTTTAGCTGAGCCATCCTGCCACCTGTTGGCAGCTCAGCGGCTGCTCAGCTCAGGCTGGGACTCGAACCGCTGTTGCTCAGAGCTCAAACTCTTGAGCGAGCTCTTAACCAACTGAGCCACTCAGCCGGCCCTCGACAATATTTATACATATATATTATTGAAACATCATAGCAGCAACTCCCAGTATTATTAATAACTATGGGTTTGGCTGCTCTATGCCTCATTCTTCCCATCTATAAAGTGGGATGAATCAGTTCTTACTAACTAGAATATTGACTGATCATGCATAAAATGCCCACCGATCTTTCTTATGAAAGGTATCAAAGATGTACGTACTGCAGTATTACTAGGTATGCAATATGACCAAACAGCTAAATAGCGTTTTAAAATCTTTCTCTACTCCACGGAACATGGAGTTTCAAAGCTTCTTCAAGTCCTGTATTTTAAGGTAACCCTCAAACAGCTCAATTTCAAAAATGAACGTGAAACAGCTTGTTATGTAAGAAGCCAATGAAGCCAGGAGCACTGTCTATTTAAATAATATCATCACATTCTTCCATCGTTCATGAACAAGGTCATCCATTTCCCAGTGGTAATCATGTCCTCTGTGTGTCCTTGTGGTTCTGTGGCCATTTCATGTTGGCATATGCTGCGCTGTGGACATTTAATTTTAAATATTTTTTTGGTTTGCCAATTTGCAGTTTTTTTTTCCCGCAAGAACAACATTTTAATTTTTTATGCTTTTCTGTTTTTCCCTCTTTCATTTTCACAGAAAAAGAGAGAGAGACTAGATGGTGAAAACATTTATATCAGACATAGCAATTTAATGTTGGAGGTTTGTATGAACTTGAAGCTTACTTCAGTTGGTGGCCTGTAACCTTCTGCATTCTTTGCTGATCCCCCTTTTTCTCTCTGTGCTGCATTTGGTTTTGCATGCCATTGCATGAAAGAATTTTAGGTTTAAAATGCTTTTGCATGTAGGTAAACATGAAGATATGTAACCATTTCTCCTTCTGACTCTTTTTTAGTTTCCATCTCTCACACTTAACTAAAAAATATATGATTGGGACTACCTCTGCTTCTCATGGTTCCGTTGTAGAAAATTCTACATCACTTTAAAAAAAAAATTCATTGAATTTTCCAAGAGTATAAATTCCTGTATGTCCCAAGCATCAAAATTTTCATCTTCCAAACTGAGAGTGTAGAGAAGTAAGACAAATTATTACAATTCAAAACAGGCTTAAAATATGACAGAAGGACAGTCAGGGGGAAAAAAAGTTAAGATACAGGAAGGAAAGAAGGGAGCCTAGCATTAATGGGTAGTTGGTATGATAGAAGATAATTTAATCACAAAAAGCAGGTCTGCTGGTATGAAATTATTGCTTTAAATGAGAAAATTGAGACTTAGAGAAATTAAGTAATTTCCCTATGGTCACAGAGCTGTTAAAGTGGTAAAGCTAGGGTTTGAGTTAGGGCCTATCTAATTCTATTAAACTACACTTTTTTTTTTCCCATTCAGAAATAGCAACATATTGTAAGGTCATCTTTCCCATTACATTCAACATTGGTAAGATTTTTACCGGTGTTATATTATATACTTTATCTAGTTTTGGGCTCCACATTGGATAGGGAAATATAAAACTGGTTAGAAGATATGGGGAACTTGATAAGGAAAAATTAAGGAAACGGGAATTATTCTGTGTGGAAAACACTGAGGCCACGTTACTTTTTACACATCAGAAAAACTGTTACATAAAAGTTGAAGACCAGATTGTTTTAAAGAAATGACAGAGCCAAAAGAAAAGAGCACAAACTATGATAGCAGGGATTTAACTTAGATGTAAAGGAAATATAAACATGTAGGAAGGTGATAAACATGGTTCTTGCTTTCAGGAAGTTTATAGTGTGGGGAAGTGAGGAGGAGAGAAACAGTAAGCAAGTAGTGATAAAATGATTACAATTGTTACAAAGCTATGAAGGAAATAAACCCTATGCTGTGCTAATAAAAGGAATCTGCTCTGAATAAGTTAGAGAGGGAAGTTCTCTCTGAAGAGACAACATTTTAGACCTGAAAGTTGAACAAATATTAAATGTGGCAAATATTATTAAACTGGAAGTTTAAAGAAACTTTGTTTTTAGATATATCTCTGGTTTAATGTAATGGCCCCTACTAATTACTTAACCTTGTCTTATTCTTTGTCAAAACTTCTATTTTGAGTGCCTGCTATGTATAAGGTACTTTAATAAAAGCAATACAAAATGTAGCCGGCCAGCCTTCATGAATCATATTCTGTGTAGTAGGTACATTTACCTCATGTAACAGGAGATTTTCCAAGGCTGGTCTCTAGAATGTTTCACACTTGGCAACTAGATCTCCTTACTTTAGCCCATAACTGAAGCTAGACCTGAATGGTTCCGCTTCTGAGATTCGGAAGAATAACAGATGTCAGCTGATCTCCTTGTACTCAGCAATGTAACATCTCCAGATTCCAAACGTGCCGATTTCTAGTCCATTTTTAGTGCTTCCTCTTACCTGGAACCTACAGTACCAATCATATATTTGACATTTGTTCCATGAGGTGTGTCATGGCTTCTGAGACTCATGAAGTCCCTGTGTGTGATGTGTTTTACCGCAGCATTTCATTGATAGCCATGAGAGGGGATGTCTACTAAGTTGTGTGTTTGCAAATTAAAACGACTAACTACCTTTTGATAATATTTTATATTTAATGACGTGTTTGGTTTGATTGCTGCTAAAATTATAATATAATAGGTATCAAAAAGTGTCTAACCTGAAAACAGCCAAAGAAATTTGGCTAATCATCATTCTCTAGTTATTATGAAAGTTTGGGG